ATATATGTCAATGTACTGGTGCCTGAAGGCCGGAAGACAGGGTAGATCCTCTGAACTGGAATTAGGTGGATGTGAGCTACTATGTGGGTGCTGGGGATTGAACCCCAGTCCTCTGGAAAAATAGCTAGCACTCTTCACTGAGCCAACAACCTTCTCATAAACCAGGAAACTGGGCTCTAGCATGGTCAGCAACTGCTCAGGTATATAGGACTGGAAGCTGTCCTTCATCTACCACACACAGTTAAGGAAGAACATATATGATGACTTCCTGGGACTCAAATCCCAGTGGACCTTTGCACAGCCTATATAGTACCTCTGACAGGTCAATGACAAGCAGTCCTGAACAAGATCCAAACCTCCAAGTTGTAGAACTCACCCTGCTCTCAAATTCTAAAATGTAACATCACCTTTCACAGGTGGCAACAGGAAGGGAATAAAAGCCTCTGAAGGACTATGTGATGATGGGATGCCTGGGTGCTACCCCTCCCCACCCTCTGCCCTGTGCAACTGGACACAAGAGGCAGGCCCAGTGATGTAAGGCCCCAAATATGTCTTTGCAGACTCCGGCAATGTTACCCATGACATGGAGAGGCAACTGCAAGCCAATGGTACCCGTATCCAGATCCTACAGGAAGAGAACAGGCGGCTCCAATCAATGCTGACCAAAATCCGAGAAGTGGCCCAACAGGGAAGCCTCAAAGTGAGCCTTTGAGAGGGGTTGGGTATTTGGAAAGTATAGCACAATTAATAAAAACCCAGGGACTCCAGATAATTGGAGTTCAACCTGAAGGTCAGAAAAGCCAAACAGTCAGCTACTGGCTCTTACCTCTACCTCAAGCTGAAATGGCAATCCTGCCTCCAGGAATCTCAGAATGAGATTAGTGTGTGTGTCAGGCTGACCAGTGGGGCTGTTTTACTCTCGAATCTTCAGGCAGCTTTATTTATTAAAATGCAAATGAAATATCACTACAGGAAGGGGTCCTTACCAGGCAGGACTCAAGACTGCCTACCTCGTGGCACGTGGCTTTAGGTCACATTTGAAAAACTTCTTCCGTATGTCAAAAGGTATGAGGCTGTGGAAGAGGTAGCCTTCCAGCTCACATCCCACTACAGCCCCTCCCTCCTTTACTTCAACCGTCAGTGTGCATTGCCTGCCCAAGGGTTTGCAGCTGAGGCCCTTGGATGGTTTTGCAAACCCCATCTCTTTGCCTCGCCATCCATCTTTGGACACTAGTGCAGGGAGGGACTCCTGGGCCCTTCTAAGCTTGACCTTCTTTGCAGATGATCCCACAGGGCCAGCTCTGGTCCCCTCCCTACAAGGACACCCAGGGAGAGGTACCCCCAGCCCAAGCACAGAATACATCTCCAGGGTGAGTAGGCTTTCCTTGAGGTGGGGCAGATAAGCGGTGGGGTCCCCTCGATCACAGAGAACTGTGTTCCGGTCCTCCCTCAGGCCCATGGGCAGACGGCAGTCTCCTGGCAGCAGGCTGAGCAGCACAGGCAGGACCCACCCAGGAGGGTCCCGAGCATCCCCCTCTAGGCAGCCCTGCAACTGGCCCAGCAAGTCCTCTTTGGAGGACAGAACCCACTCAGCCACCTGCACCCAGAACCCCATCCGAGCCCTGGCCAGGCTCAGGAGGAAACTCTCACCGAACCGAGGTCAGGCTGGCTCTACATACCAACCCCAGGAATGACCCACCTAACCTGAAGCAGGGGTAGGGCTGGAGGGCAGGCGGCTAGCAACCCCCATGGAATAAAAGCCCCAGCCATCTGCCCACAGTGATCTTGGCCTCAGCGTGGCTAAGCTGGGGGAATAGACCTTCCCCTCCTTGTTGGACAAAGGCCTCTGTGATCCCACCAGGCAGGTCACTGGCCCATAGAGGCCTGCCATTGAGTGTGAACTTTTTGTCTCCATCTTGACAGGCACTGTGGGGAGAGTATGCAGAGGGGTAACCCTGGGTCACTGAGCAGCACTCAGGGTAGGGCTTGGGATGTGAGGGCACATCTGGAACAAGGAACCAGACACCAGGACTTTGCCTCTGGCCCATCAAGGGAGGCAGGGAACAGCAGTGCCGTCACCTTCCATCTTGGCTCTGCAGCTCACCAAGGAGCTCACTGCCTTTAGGGACAACTGAGAGGTCCCGCTTAAGTCCTAGAGGTCAGAGCCTCACAAAGCCACTGAAGGGAAGACCAGGCCTTTGGACACCTTAGCCAACCATGGTTTGATGAGCTCAGGATGACACAAGCCTGAGCAAGGCTGGACCAACCATCCTATGACACAGTGGTCATTTCTCTAGAGCGGGCCATCAGCCTGCCTCAAGTCACAGGACTTCTCAGGTCACTCTCCAAGCCTTCTGGGTGGCATTATTTATTATGTGGTGGGGAGGCCATCAGGTCGACTGCCTTAGTTTGCAGTGAAGGGTCAATGAGAGCCGCATGCGCAGTAAGCTGGCATTGTCAGGTCTCTTGACTCTGTCTCTAACAGCCCAGGGTGTCTGGAGGAGACTGGATGCTCTGAGCCACTGTACTGGGGAGAGGCCGTTACTGCTGGGCGTTCCAGGTCTCCACTGACTCAACATCCATTTCTTAGCTCCCACTTCTACCAGTTGGTAAGCCAGACCCTTCCCAAACAGGAGGACTGAGAGTTTGAGGCTAGTTAATGCTATATAGGGAGGACCTGACTCAGACAGACAGACAGACGGATAGACAAGAGAACAAGAAACAAGCAAAAAGTCCAGAAGTCCAGGTTGTTTGTGTCTCCTTTAGATGGCTCTGCTGAAGAGTCCTTACAAGCTCTGGCTGGGGCAGAGCTTGATCCTCAGGCTTAGGCTGTGGAGCTGAGGTGTCCCCATAGCCATGCTGCTCTTGCCTGGCCTCTTATTTGCACCACCCACCTTGAAGAAGGCAGCAGAGCCAAGTGGTGGTGCTCACGGATCTCTGAGTTTGAGATCAGCCTGGTCTACATAGCAAGCAAGCTTCGGGACAGCAAGGGGTATATCTAGACCCGGTTGAGAGAGCGTGCACAGCAGAGAATGTGTCTCCCACACGGAGTCCCCTCGGTCTCTGACTTGCTCCTGCTTTCCTTGGACTCGTGCTGACCAGAAGCTTTTCTCATTTTCTTGTTCCTGTTCGTGTTGGGAACTGGATTCAGGACCTTGTGCATTTCAGGCAAGTAAGTGCTCTACCAGTGCCCTCGCCTGAAGGTCTCACCTGAAGGTCGTGTAACAGAAACTTCTTAGAGTCAGGTCCTAAAGATTACACAAGGTGTGTTCATGCAGCAGAAGGGTGTGAAGCTTTGAGGACTGTAAGAGTTCTCCCTGCTCCAAGCAAGAGAAGCCAAGGTGACTGGTGACTGCTATTTTGTTTGGTTGTTTTTGGCAGGAGCCCAGGCTGATATCAAACTCACTGTATAGCCGAGGTTGATTTTGAACTCATGATCCAATGGTTTTCTTAGTAGCCCAGTTCGGCCTTGAACTTTTTGTTTTGTTTTGTTTCTAATTTATTTATTTACTTATTTATTTTTGTTTTTATTTTATTTATTTAATTTTTTTGAGACAGGGTTTCTCTGTGTATCCTTTGTTGTCCTGCCACTCACTCTGTAGACCAGGCTGGCCTTGAACTCACAGAGATCCATCTGGCTGCCTCTGCCTCCCCAGTACTGGGACTAAAGGAGTACACCACTGAGAGGCCCACTGGCCTTGAGCTCTTAGTCCTCCTGCCTCTACCTTCAGGTTTCTGGGATTATTCATATGCAACCACATACCCATCTATTGCTTAACATCTTAAAACATCTGCACAGATTTTATGTCTTATGTTAAAATATATTCCATGTTTATTTTACTATTAAAACTTCCCTACCCAAATGTTTTTTTAAATGACGCCCTTGGCAGATGCACCACATATATTCTGTGGCTTCAAGTATCCTGGTCAGTGACATTTAGCTCAACCAAGAAATAGAGCACTAGATGGTTTCTAAGGCCTCTGATCCGCCAGACTGGAGTCATCCGGCTAGACAGGCAGCAGGTAGTAGAGGAGGCTCATTTGAACGTTACACCTTTGATTTGACTAGGCAATAGCCTCAAAGATGGGGCCATGCCAGTGGGTCCCATGGCCACAAATCTTTTTCCTCAATCTATCCCCCAATAAATAGCATAAAATTCAATCACAGAAGCCCCAGAAGCTGGAGACAGATGTAGTGGCCATGTTTTCTTTCCCCAGAGTCCTGGGAGCTGCCTATAAGGGCAGACACAAATATCCCAGGGTTGCAGAGAAGGGCTTTAATATTTCTCCTTGCCTGTTGGGTCCTGGCTCTGTGTCTTCAGCCCGGGGCTGAGTCCCTCCTACCCATCATGGGTACGGTGAGGCCTTGACTTTGCCCACAGGGCTAGCTGGTCTGTCCAACCCAGTATCCTGTAGTGGAGGCTGGGAAGAGTCCATCCCAAAGTGCAGACTCTCCACTTGGGCAGTTAGTCATCTGAGTAGTGGTTCCCTGAAGGGGGGAAGGAAGAACAGAGAGAGAAGGATCAGATGGGGCTTGGGGGTTAGCCCAGGAGTCCCCCCTTCCCCTGATGCTTACCCAGGACATTGAACTTGCACAGTGGGCAGGTCTGCTGTAGCATCAGCCAGGGGTCCACACAGTCTCGGTGGAACTCATGCTTGCAGGGCAGTACCCGGAGCCACTACAGGGTGGGGGAAGGGCACAGGCTCTAGATGGGGCCAGACCTGTGCCCTTCACCTGGGCTATGCATTGAGCACTCCTGGGTCTTCCCCGGGTATGCTCTTAGCAGCCATGATGAGGACTGGAAGAAGGTCCTGGTAGGAGGGTTGAGGGTCTTGGGAGCAGGATCAGGGATGCCACAGGTCAACTGCTGGTGACTTTGCCTAGGCACTAACCTGCTTGTTACAGAAGTTGTCTAGACACACAGCACAAGTCTCAGTGCCAGGCTCTGGAAGGCTGTGTGCTGCTCTGCTCAGCCGGCAGCGCCGGGTCTTGAGGGACGCTAGTCTCCGAACCACACGGCGTTTGAACAAATCCCCCTGTGGGAAAAGGATGGCCACAGTCTTGCAGGCCCAAGGGCTGTGGGCATGAGGGCTTCCACAATCTGGCTCCCACCTGGCCTCCAGGATCCTGCTGGTTTTGTCTTGATGCCTGCCGCTGGGCCTGAACCACAAGGCCTGTGCACAAGAGCATGGCCACAAGCAAGATGGCATTCCATAGCTGCTGCAGGGGCTTCTGGGGAGGGAGAAGGATGTCAGGGCCTCTGGGCTGCTCTACATGTTTCCCCAGGAATAGCCACCCCCAGGAACACTGGTGACAAAGCAGGGGACATGCACTGAGGGCCTCTGTCTCTTCAGGCTCCATCTCACCTACCTATGCGCTCCTCAGGATCTGCCCCAGATGCATGGAGAGCCACATCTGTCCTTAGTGCCTTGCTATTCTGTTGCCAGCGTAGATTTCCTCCTGGTCTGTCCCTACCGTCCCCACTTGCCTTCATCTAAGCTGATGTTCACCCCTGAAACTGCAGAAGCAGCAGGAACAGGTACGCCTCTATGCTGCGATCAGTTCTCTCTCAACTGCCAGCACACAGGCCCCACCCCCAGACCCAGGGACTTCAGCAGCAATCCAACAACGTCATGCCTCCTTCACTGTCTTCTCCCTTGTCCCTTGCCTTGTTTATGCCCTGACACATTTCCCCTATCTTGAAAATTGCTTTTCCTTGCCCTTGTCCTTTTAACAACTTTGGCCTATTGCTCCAGGAGCTCCCCAGCCCCTCAGGGTGACTGTTTGCCCCGCCCCGCCCTCCTAACACCCATTAACCATGGGCTTCCTTGCTGCTGCCCTGGGTAGTCCTCCAGGCCCTTTCACTGGTGGAGAAGGAAGTCCGACACGTCACAATGTAGCTAGCCTCAGTCTCTGTGCAAGCCACGTGGGCACCTGCACACAGGTGCCCCGGCTCACGCAGATTAAATGTGCTGTGACCAATAAAGACACTTCAAAACTCCCGGCTTTCTCAGTAGCTCTTGGTCTTTGTCACGGATTACAGGGCGGGATGTCCTAACAGTCAGTGCTTCCCTGTGACTGCTCTTCCTAACATCCTCGGTTGGGCCCAGGTGCTCTGGCTATGACCCGGAAGGGCTCGCTGTTGTCCTACACAATGACTATCTTTCTGCTCCCCAGCCAGAGCCGCTCTGAAACTGCACTGAGGCAGCCAGGCTGGAAGCCCGAGGTAGGGAGAGCAAGGCAGGGCCCCTCCACTAAGACAGCAGGGTGCTGCTCTTCAGGACAGCTTTTCATTCCTGGCTCGGTGGCAGCTGGACCTGGGGCCGGGCTTGGCATCCATGTCCATCAGGACAGCTACTTGAGATGCCTGCTCAGCTATTGTTTGGACATCTCATCTGCCACGTCCACCCCAACTTGGCTGGCAGTACGTTCGCAGCTGTTCAAATCTGTCTTCTGTCCCTGCCAGCCTGTCCTAAACACTGCACATTCTCACCTCCAGGCCACCTGGGCCCTTTCCCAGAGGTCTGTGTAGTCCACCCCAGGGGAAGGGAGAATGTGAGGAACAGGAAAACACTGGCCTGTGGTTGCTCAGCTAAGGCTCAGGAGCCAGGGTTTTAACCTGTCTGACTTCAAACCGCTCAGTGTGGCCCTTATCATACACTAAGAGAGAGTACATCTTCCTCTCCCCAACTTATACAGACTGGGGTTCAAGAAATGCTGTGGATTGAACCCCTGGAAGCTAAACACCGGGAAACATGGACACGAAGCCACTCTCTCCAACATACTGGGTTGGATCTAAAAATGCTGAGAAAGCCTGGCCAAGCCCAGCTATGACTGCCAGACGGAGTGAGACTACGAGCAGAGCAATGGAGGGGACAGACAGTCCAAAGCAGTGAGGTGGGCTGAGCTGCGAAAGTGCCATTAGGCAAGGACTCGTGTGGACAGAAAAAAGGGGAATGAACACCAAAGGCCAATCAGGGCCAAGGTCCTGAGGCAGGAAGTGAGGGTACGTATAGGAGCTGGTAAATAACATAAGGTAGCCAGAACGTAGAAAGAAGACTAGATATAAAGAAGCAGCGGGGGTGAACTCTGTAGCAGAACACTTGCTTAGCGTGTACGTGGCCTGGGTGCTTTCCCCAGTGGAAAAATAAACGAGAAGAGTGAGAGATCCGTGAAGGCTGCTGGCGGGGGACACGACAGCAGCAGCTACCTACCTGCTCCTGGGCCTGACCACCTCCCAGGCACACCAGGTCCTGCCAGCCGCCATAGCTGTCCTTGGAGAGGCCACAGGTAGTCCACAATGTCAGCTTCCACTCGATGTTGGCGGACAGGGACTCTCGACTGGTGATCTCAGCAGTAGCCTGGGTCCTCCTGGGAGGAAGAATCATGGGATGGGGTGGGGTGGGAGGGCAGACAGAAGGAGATGAATCTACCTGGCTCTGCAGTGGACGCCCAGGGTATTGTTGCTGTCGGCCTTCTGGTTTGGCTCTCAGGCCTTTCCTGGCTGTTTTCCCAGGTTCTCACCCAGCCAGGCCAAGGGACAGCCTGACAACCAGGCTTGCAGCTTCCTCATGCTGGGCTAGTCCCTCTCTGCCCATAGGGCAACTCCTTTCCCAGGCCATGCCTCCTCCTCCCCATCTCCCGGGTTCTGAACCAGACAGCAGTTTACAGGCTAATGGGTCAGGGTGAGGGCCCACTGGAGGAGAGTCAGAGACCCACGGCACTCGGGCAGCAAACCACCCCAAACAAACCCAACTCACTGCAGAAGTGCCTCCAGCAGCTTGGTGACATTGGCAGAGTAATGGAGGACAATTACTGGCCTGAGCAGAAGCTGGGAGATGTCCAACTGCAGGAGACAGGGGGGTCAGCAGGCTGCGTCCCCGTTCCCCTCACCTGCTCACCCTCACTGTCCACTCCGGTTTACCTCTCGGACCACACTGTGGTTTAGGATGAGGAGAAGCAGGGCCGAGGCTCCCAGGAAGAGGGCACGGCGCATCTGTAAAGGAAGAGAGAAGGTGAGAGGCTGCCACACCTGCCTTCCCAGTGGCCCCAGTTCTCAGGAGCCTGACCACTGGAGCGACTAGGCTGAGCTCCTTCAAGGTAAGCAAAAGCTAAACCAGAAGAGCTATGACAGCCAAAGGTAACACGTGATGGTTGTGGACTGAGGCAATATTTAATTACGAGTCAGAGATTACAATATTTTAGCGATGTTAACTTTCCCAACTTCAGATACCATAGTTACATAAGAAATATCCTTGACTTTAAGAAATCGGCACATTTTCAAGTGTGTGTGAAACTTCCACTCCTGTAGGATCCAGAAAGCCTCGTCATTTGCCCTAATCCTGGCAAAGCAGGTTCCCCATCCTCGCTGACTCCCTTCACATATTCTGAGAACAGGTGCTCTTTCCCAAGGAAATCTTCCACCCCCTCCCACCTCCCCATCACACTGGGGTCTACTGACCCAAGGCCAGCCCTTCTCTGGAAGGCTCCTCATAGGCCACCTGGTAGCCTGGCTCTAGAAGATGTTCTGAAAGCATTCCCTCTCTCTACTTCCCTCCAAAAACCCTTTGCACCTGCTGGACCAGAGCCTTGGGATATGCCTTCCGGCCACTGCCTTGATTGTCCTGGTGGAACTGGGCAGCCTGCTCTTTGCCCACATATGCCACTGCAATCCAGCTGTCTACAGGTATCTCTTGTTCAGCATCCACGACATCCATCTGTGTGAGGAACCATGAGAAAAGGGAAGCAAAGGGTGTAGAAGAAGCAGCTGGGGTCTCCCACAGAGGATGCAAGGTCGGGGTGTGGAAATGAATTTGGAAGGGGTATGTGGATCTCAGGTCTGTGAAACCCTGAATGCCGGAGAGCGGCTCTGGGCTGTTTAGGGCTTGCTTCAGAAGGAAGACGGACACTGGGGAGCAGGGTCTACGCGAGGGTCACGGCATGTTTTGGCAGGGTTGCGCTCACCAGCAGCAAGCGACCGCCCAGCAGCGGCTCGGAACCGGCTTCAGGACCTATCCTGACGCCCTCGAAAACCAGGGCGTCTTGCCGCGGCAGCTTCACGTCTACTCGCACGGCGCGGGCTCCGCCCCGTCCCGCCCGGGCCGCCGGCTCGCTGCCGTCCGCCGCGGCCCCGGGCCCCGCCAGGCCCAACCACAGAGGCAGCAGGGGCAGCAGCAGTAGCAGCGGCGACGGCGGCGATGGAGGAGGTGGCGGCGACGGTGGCGATCTCAGCGCGGGTCGATCGGCAGGGCCCATGGTCGGAGCGAAGAGCTGGCGAGTCCGTGGGCTGGGGGGTCCTGGGCTCCTGGAAAACGGAGAAAGCGAGGCCGCGCCGGACGGGGCGGGGCGCCGGTAGGGGCGGAGCCGCAGCCGAAGGGGACGGGGCGCCGGGAGGGTGAGCTGGGTGGTTGGCAGCTCCGCGCGCCCCTTAGTGGTCCCTAGCGCCCCCTAGTGCAGGCGGCGGTGGATGCTGAGCTGCGGCCCGATCCCTGACAACAGAAGACTCAGGAGAGCTTGCCAGGTTGTCAGTGGAGTCAGAGTCTGGGTAGTCGCAGGACTGGAGAAAGGCAGGAACGAGGGAGGTGCAGGGGCCTTGACTGCTGGACCCACGGTGTGACCAAGGCTATGTCACATCCTTCTCCAAGTCTGTGTTTCTTCATAGAATCAAATAGCAGGCGATAGAGAATCAGCAACGGAAAGCAGATGGAGAGATCGAGGGCATGGTCTTAAAAAGCAGGGAGAAGGGCTAGGCTGAAGTAACCACCAACCACACAGAGCCATAATGACACTGAGAACTGGCCTGTCCTCATCTGTAAAATGGGCTTGACCCACAGTACTCCACATTTAACATAATCTCCAACGCTTGCTGGATTGTAAAGGTTCCATTTTTGTACTACAATTTGTCCTTTACCCGGAGGGTTGTGGTTGCTGGGAACGGGCTCAATCTGAAACCTGAGCCTTTTACAAATTGTACCCTGATAAAAGGGCAAAGAGCAGATGAGCTGCACCCCCCCCATTTTCTCATAAAATATTCAAACCTACGGAAAACAGAAGCCTGATTAGCTACCAGAATGTGATGACCAAACTATTTCTAAGGAAGACAAATGTATAGAGAAAGCCTGCAACAGGGAATTGACATAAAACTGGCCAGCACATACATAAGTCTGGTTTGTCAAAGGACGTGTTGCCTTTGGGGAGATGGGAGGAGATGCTCTTTGACAAACTGCTACAAAGTCAGGTAAACACTGGGAAAAGAAGTGAAATTGACTGGGCAGTGGTGGCACCTGCCTTTAATCCCAGCACTCCAGAGGCAGAGTTCAAGGCCAGCCTAGTTTACAGCGAGAGTTCTAGGACAGCCAGGGCTACACAGAGAAACCCTGTCTCAACAACCCTGTCTCGAAAAAACAAAACAAAACAAAACAAAAACCCGAAAACAAAACAAAAGTGAAATTAGACCCCTAATGCACAGAAAACCAATTCATGTAAATTAAAGGTTTAAACATGAAAAGTAAAACTTTAACATTTTAAATAAACAAAATTTTGATTATGTCAAGTTCATAAGAGTTGTTTTATTTTGATTTGTGTGTGTGTGTGTATGTGTGTGTGTGTGTGTATGTGTGTGTGTGTGTGACAGAAAAACTATATTGTCATGGGCATGCCTGCAATCTCAGCAATTGAAAGGGTGAGGCAGGCAAGAAGATCATGAGTTTGAGTATCTGGCCAGCTGGATACGAACGGGGGTCCCTGATAAACCTGGAGGAGGAAGAAGAGTGGAAGGGACAAGAGACTCGAGAAACCGACAGCAAGACGGGTTTTCTGATCAAGCCGCGAATTTTACTGTTCCTTGCAAGCTGTTACACAGCAAAGGGCAAGGGAGAGGGGAGGGTGTCAGGTCTGCTGGAATTCAGGTCCGGAAGGTCTCTGGCTGAGAGAAAGAGATATTAACTAACAAAGGAGGTGCTAATTGCTTCTAAATCTTGGGTCCTGAAGGTCTCACTAGGAGATACCAGGTTGATTTCCTAGGCCCGGAATTTACCCTGCAGAGGGGATAGAGGTGAACATTTTACTTACCTTGTGAGCTTAAGATGGCTGTAAACAAAATACAGATCTCAAAATACAGGTCTTTGCTTCCAGCATTTGAGGTCAACACAGGTTCCACAGTGAGACCCTGTGTGGAGAGATGACTCAGTGGTTCAGAGCACATCTGGGTTTGATAGGCAGCACCCCCAGGGACTGCCAACTCACAAAGTCCTGTGACTCCAGTCCTAGGGCATCTGCTGCCCTCTTCTGGCCTTTGTAGGCACTGCATGAACATGGTACACCACTTTGCGCCGCAAACAATCGTGGGCATAAAATAAAAGTGAAAAAAAGTTCTTTTATTTTTTTCTCTAAATTTTGGTTTTTCAACACAGGGTCTCTCTATGTAGCCCTGGCTGTCCTGAAACTCACTCTGCAGACCAGGCTGCCCTTGAACTCACAGAGATTTGCCTGCTTCTGCCTCTAGAATGCTGCGATTAAATGCGTTTGCCACCACTGCCCTGCTAAAAGAAACTTCTTAAATATAAAATTGTGTTGGTAAGATGGCTCAGCTGGTAAAGCCTGCTGACCTGATGGCCTGGATTTGATCCCTGGGATTTACCGGACAGATGGAGAGAACCAATTCCTTCAATGTCCTTTGACCTCCGCACCCATATTTTCACACACATTTCCACACCTGTGCCATGACACATGTGCTCCACTTAGACACAAAGTAAATGTAAGCGTGTGCTGGACTGTGCTGGCACATGCTGGAGCCATATCAGAGGAGGGAACTTCATTTAAGAAAATGCTTCTATTCGATGGGGCCGCAGGCAAGCCGATGGGGTATTTTCTTTTTCTTAATTAGTGATTTATGGAGAAGCACTGCTGTTCCCGGGCTGCTAGTCCTGGGTTCTACAAGAAAGCAGGCTGAGCAAGCCACAGGGAGTAAGCCAGTTAGTAGAACTCCTCCATGGCCTCTGCATGAGCTCCTGCCCTGTCTTCCTTCAACGATGCATTATGATGTGGAAGTGTAAGCCAAATAGACCGTCTCCTTCCCAAGCTGCATTTGGTCATGGTGTTTATCACAATAATAACCCTAACTGGCTACTATTATTAATAAATAAATTATATTTAAAATAAATAGACAATATATCCATGACAAAATGAAAATACCAAGCCAGAGTGTGCGAAGGGCAGAGGAGGCTGCTCAGCAGCCGAGGCCACAGTGGGGGGGGGGGGGACACACGACACACTCATGCACAAGTCAGGCAGCCAACTGGGGCTTGCCGGCAATCCCGGCTCCTGCAGAACAAAGTCAGAGAAGCCCTGGAGCTAGCTAGCTGCGATTCAAGTGAACGACCTGCCTCAGTGTCTAAGTGGAGCTACATCTGGGAAGACATCAGCGTCAGCCTACGGCCTCTACATACACATATGCACGTATGTTTCCCCAACACTCTCGTGTGCCTGCATACACAGACAAGAGAATCCTTCCATGAACATGCGTGTAAATAATAAAATGACATAAACCTAAGCTCCAAACTGAAAGAAGATATTTGTAACTAAATGACTCATCCCAGATTATGTAATGCACTCATAAAAAGATACCAGTAGGGAGTGGACAGATGCGGGAACAAGAACGCTCAATAGAGAGACGCCACGCTCCGCTCTCCCTGGCAGATGCACGCAATGAAGCTCCTCAGATCCAGGATGGACATAGGCTAGACTCTTCCCGGCCCTTGCCCGGACTCGCATTCGGTACAGCTGCGCGCGAACTGTACCGAGGGTGTAACACCAAAATCGGGTGTTACAGCAAAGGATGTTATCAGAGCCTACGTAAACCTCCGAATGACCGGATGGTGCCTGGCGTTTTCTACATGACTGACGATGCATACAAGCTTTTGTACCATCAATGTACAAGAAGTCAGTCACGTGCCCTCTGCTTACTGGGATAGCCAAAGTTCAAGAACATTCAAGCATGCCTTTAATCCCAGCGCTTGGAAGGTGGATTACTGTGAGTTCAAGGCCAGCCTGGTCTACAAAGAGAGTTCCAGTTCCAGGACAGCCAGGACTGTTACACAGAGAAACCCTATCTCAAAAAAAGAAAAAAAAAAAAAGAGAGAGAAAAGTTCGAGAACATTCTGTCTGGACGTGTCTGGACAGTTAGCAGAACTCTGCCCAGCTGAGCCTCCATTTGTGCTAAGCCGACTGGAAGGATAAGGGGTTGCCCTGCCTGGGCTCTCGGGTGTGGGTCCTCTCAGCGGACAGCTGCAACTTGCTCTGCTCTCCAGAAGGATAGAAGCCGTTATAGGAACTCATAAAACTGCCTCAGTGGGAGCCAGGTGGTGGTGGCGCACGCCTTTAATCCCAGCACTTGGGAGGCAGAGGCAGGCAGACCTCCATGAATTTGAGGCCAGCCTGGTCTACAAGAGCTAGTTCCAGGATAGGCTCCAAAGCTATGGAGAAGCGCTGTTGCAAAAAGACAAAAACAAAATAAAACCTGCCTTAGTGGACACATGGTGACATCCAGACAACCCCACAGTTCCTCGGAGAGAAAGGATTTTTTTTTTCTAGGTAGATGGGAGGAGTTTTGGGGGGGACAGGCCTAGTTTAAAGCTCAGTTTGAAAGCACAGCCCCTCAGTCCAGGAGGAAGGCCAGCCACAAGTCTGCCATTGTGATGGACAGCTATTCTATTTGTTCCTAGGCAGAATGTTTCTCTACAGCCCAGGCTGGCCCTGAACTCAAGAGTGCCCTCTTCTAGCCTCCTAAGGGCTGGGATTACAGGTATTTGCCTTTACATCTGTCTAATTATGGTTTATTATATGGGTTTATTTAACGGATATAAAAACTATACACAGCCGGGCGGTGGTGGCGCACGCCTTTAATCCCAGCAGTCGGGAGGCAGAGGCAGGCGGATCTCTGTGAGTTCGAGACCAGCCTGGTCTACAAGAGCTAGTTCCAGGACAGGCTCCAAAGCCACAGAGAAACCCTGTCTCGAAAAACCAAAACAAAAAAAAACAAAAAAAAAAACTATACACAATGTGATGTTCCCATACATGGATATATCCTGTTAAAAAAAAAAAAAAAAAAAAAAGCTCAATAAATGTGAAGAGTTTGCTGAGGAGAACTATTGGTAGAGTTCCAGGCTGGCCTCAGACTCAGAGATCTGCCTGCGTCTGCCTCTAGAGAGCTGGGATAAAAGGCATCCTCCCAGCAAAAGTAATTATTGAGATGGAAAATGAAACTGTTAAGTCCCGTGAGAGATTAGCTGGAGTCTGACCCCGTCAGGTGCTGCTAGGGCTGTGGAATTTCCACATCCCTGGTGCGTGCAGCTTTGCTGTGCTGGCCAGGTTCAGTCACACTAGAAACCCATTCCTCAAACAGAGATGGAAGTCAACATTTTAGGTGTTCTAGTCCCAAGTATATAGTCTAGAGTACTGATTCTTCAGACAGACAGAATACTGGTGTTATTTAAAAGTCTTAAAAAGAAGTCTAACAAAGCCCAAGATGGTGGAAGTTCTGGTGGAAGCACCACCCCAGCCCCTGGCATCCTCATACCCAAAGAGTCTGGAATGTTCTGGGGGAAGCTCCACCTCAACCCCCCTCCTTCATCTCTCCCCAAACCCTGCCTCACTTCAGAAAGTCCATCAAACACGGCTCCTCCCCCAGAGATAATCAAGGCCACACCCATAGGGTATTTAAACTGCGCCCCAGAAAACAGACACCTGATTTTTAGGTCTCCTCTCTGGGAGGCTGGAAAATCATCTAGGAGCATTTTATACATCAAACCTGGGCCTTTTCTAATTTGGTTTGATTTGGTCTGATTTGGGTTGCTGAGTCAGTGGAGAGGCTTATGGGGTGCAGAAACTTATTTTTGTTTGTTTTAGTTTTTCGAGACAGGGTTTCTCTGTGTAACAGTCCTAGCTATCCTGGAATTCGCTTTGTAGACCAAGCTGGCCTCAAACTCACTGAGATCCTCCTGCCTCTGCCTCCCCAGTGCTAGGATTAAAGCATGCCACCACCGCCTGACTGTGCAGAAACTTTTTAATGGATGGGGGCTGGAGAGATGGCTCAGTGGTTAGCAGCACAGTCTACTTTTCTAAAGTACCCAGGTTCAATTCCCAGCACCCACATGGCAGCTCACAGCTGTCTGAAGCTCCAGCTCCAGGGGATCTGACACCCTCACACAGACATAACACGCAGGCAAAACACCAGTGCACAGGGGGAAAAAGTCCAAGATGGTGGCACAAACCCGTGCATTCGGCATTTAGGAGACAGAAGCAGGCAGATTGTGGGTTCAAGGCTAGCCTGAGGCACAAAGTGAGATACCCCTCATCGGAAAACAAACAATTAAAGCAGGATGCTGTGGCAGATAATTCCAGATACTTAGGAGACTGTGGCAGAGGGATTGGTTGAGCCCAGGAGTTGGAGTCAGCCTTGAGAACTTAGCGAGACCTGTTCTCAAATCAATTACCCACTCCCAAAATCCTGGGCCCTTAACCCATACTTTAAAATTACCAGCATCTCTGGAGGTAGCTTTGTTTCTGTGAGTTGTAAAGGT